ATTCCCAGTCAAGGCCAATAACAGTGACGATGATCTGAACAGGTCTTGTTTCTTTCCTAGGTCGACTGTAAAAACATCGCCACTGGGGAGACAAAGGCGGCTGGGTGTGGTGCTGGCCACCCCACCCCCTCGTGTGCCGTGCCGGTCTTCATAGGTGCTCGCTAACAGCCCTTGCCCCAACAGTCTGTCCAGGCTATGCCATACGGGAGATCTTTGTATGTGTGTGCATGTGACCAGATCTGTATAACTCTCTTGACACCGGGCCACAGTGTTTGGGTTGTGGGGTCACGTACAAACGACTCTGGGCAACCAGCGGCCCCGGAAAAGATTTCCAACACCTGGGACACCACCACATCCAGGATACCACTGTGGCCGTGGCTACGAGTAAACGTCACTTGGCAGATGTCGTCTTTGCCAAAGAGGCCGAGATTAAGAACATGAGCCGGGTAAACAGCACGTTTGACCCCGTTTCGTTTGTGACACGTCTAGCCTTGCCTCGGGACAGCACTCAACAGTGAGTGACTCAACCCGAAAGCATCAAACCACTTTACTCCAAGAGCACAGAGACAAATACACCCCGTGTAGCCTTTCACGAACAATGGGGCAAGTGCTGTGAAGAAAGCACCTACGAAGGCCGGCACGGCACACAAGGGAGGGACACGGGTGGTTAACACCATGCTCGCCCACCTTTTTGTTTTCCCAGTGCTGATGTTTACACAATGCACCAGGTACTAGTGAAAGGCTGAGTTGACCGAGAAGGGGGTCCAGGAATAGGTTCAAACACTGCTTTTCACTGATGTTGGCCATAGTTAAAAATTGAAACCAGGTTTGCTGGGTTTGCGGCGCAGTGAGCTTAATCATTACAGTACAGCACATTTTGCAAAAGCACAGACACACACACACGGACACATACAATAAAACAAGTACATACTCAAACAGACATACCCATCGACAATTACACTCAGACACGCAGTAGTGTAATTTTACAAATGTGGTTCGTGAACGTTAACACCAGGCACACGCACACACAGACACACACATACACAGACACACACACAAACGTACCAGACATGTGCACGATTGCTAGCTCATTAAAAGGAGATCGAACCTCGGCTATACAAGTGTCACACACAAGTCAGGTGTTTACTTTCAGAATAGTAGCTGGCCTACTTACAGCATCTCCATCGCGAGGTTACCCAGAATGCACCACATGCTTGTCAGACCTCGGAAGCTAAGTAGCCTTTGGGCCTGGGAAGTACAGGTTGTTACAGGCTGCAAGGCTAGGCAGTAGGAAAGCCGATGGCAGGCAGCACAAAAATATATATTTTTGGACTGTACCTCGACACTAATGCTTACGTAGGATCCTGCGTTAACCCCCACGTTGGGCAAATTAGCGCGGTCCGAACAGAAAAACAGAACGCAAGACGCACACCCGCATTAAGCACCACACCCAGGTAGCCACCTAGGAGAAGGCAAAGCGAGCTGTCCGTGTGTCGTACTGCCCCTGTGTCGTATCGCGCGTCTGTGTCGTACTGCACGCGCGTCGTTCCGCACGGCGTCCAACAATTCGTTCCGCGTGCCGGAGAGCTCCAGCTGCACATGGAGCGAAAACGTCCGACACGTACGTGTGTATCTATGTTGAACTTCTTTTGCACCGTACGTAGCCAACCGTGCTACTCGGAGGTGCATGGGGGGGGGGGGTGGGAGGCGAAGGACAACCAACTAAACACACACAAAAAGTGAGGAGGACAACGGGCCAAACGACGCGGGGCACAATCCGAGAAATGCACTGGAGCGCCACCGCGAAAAAACTTCCTCCGCAGTACGACCTTTTCTTTTGTGAAAACTAATTTTCTCTTCCGGCTGCCGCGTGGCTCCGGTTAAGATCCCCGACTCAAATCCCGGGGCTCATCGCCAAGCACGGCAAAGCGACCGAGGATTTTCAAATTCCGCTCGCCAGGTGCGATTCCCGGAGGTCGCGCGGGCGGGGGGGGGGGGGGACTCCTGCCCGCCACGTGGACGTGGGAATTGAAAGCGTGGTGAACTCACCGAGAGGCGAGTAAAAAAAAACTGGGGGGCGCGTAGCCATTTCGGTTCCCGGCTGCGGGTGGAAAAAGATAACGGCTGCGTTTCCTCGACGACGCAGCTGGGGCTGCCGACACACGGAGCTTAGCGGAGATTGGAGATGATTTGGATGTTGACACCCTTCGGCGTGACACGTCGCATCAACACCCTCGCCGGATGTCAAGGGCGACCGGGCGCTGCGGGGGGGGAGGCGTGGGGCCAGCCGAGATTAGCGGCGTGTGGCGCGCGCTTAGAGCAAGCGGTGCAAGACGGAGCGCTGTTATCACAGACGGCACCGCGCAAAATGTTCCATTTCCTTTCGGCATTCTCATGCTGAGGACCGAGTGCGTCGTGATCCGGCGACTTGATGATCTGTCACGATTCATGGGTCGCGGTACTTTCATTCTATATTTTTTAAATACATTTTATCCGAACTATCTTTGTATGTGTTGTCTGTCGCGCCTGTTCACCGTTTGTACTTTCTCACTTGTTTTTCCTCGCTCTGTCTGACTTCTACCATCTCACGTGGTCTGTAATTTATTTTGTATTAACGGTCTTGTATTTCCCGTTACATAGATATTGCTTGCCTTGTTTGTGCTGTCTCGTAAGCTCCGGGAGCCGAACGCATCAGATGTAATGTACAGCCCTTTATCAATCCACTGCTGGATTAAGGCCATCGCACGTTTACAAAGACAAAGATCCCCCATATAGTCTTAACAGACTGTTAGGGCAAGTGCTGTTAGTAAGCACCTATGAAGGCCGGCACGGTACACGAGGAGAGGGGGGGGTGGCCAGCACCAAGCCAGGTCGCCTTTGTCTCCCCAGTAGACGATGTTTACACACCGCACCAGGTACTCATCTGAGGCTGAGTCAACCAAGGGGAGGCCCAGGACCGGTTCAGATAATCAGTCACTGGGTGTTGGCCGTGAGTGGGAATCGAACTCGCGTCATCGGAAGTCGCAGCGCAACGCGCTCACCGCTGCACTACTGCTCCCCATAATCCACTTTCATTTCTCACGCACATTTCCTTCAACGCACTGCATCGGTAGCGTACGAAAATCGACGTTCAATCGATAAGCCGCGTACATCGTTACGTGGCCAACGGCGAGCGACGTGCTGCTATGCTGCCAGACTCTGGTAGGGCCGTGTGGTCCGCGATGGGGTTAGGTAAGTAAATAAATAATGTGCACATGCCTGGGGCTAGCGAGCCGGAACACACAGGAAATTACAGGTAATGCCGTACACCCAGGAGTGGCGGAGTGGGGGCATTGGGGTCAACCCCAGCAAAGCAAAGGCGCTAGTGGAAGAACAAATGAAGTCGGCAGGCTTCCCCCATCAGCTGTGCCCATCATAAAAAAAGGAGCACCGGGCCATGATCGATCCACTGCTGGATTAACGGCCCACCCAGAAAAACCCGTCGCATATCCCCCAACGGTGTTGCAATGCTAAAACAGTCCTCCCATGGCCAACGTGCCAGCTGATTTAATCGTTCCGTCTCCTTGATGGACGTGCTCTTCGTTTCTCTCTCTTTGCTGCGTTACAACTTCGGCTGCCGCTCAGTCGTTACTCTTGCCCATCGGCAATCATCCCTTCGAGCGACACGGCCTGCCTTATCGCTCAAAACGATGTCGTTAACCTGCCTGTGTATACGTACGTACGTATGTTGAACTTATTTCGAACCGTACGTAGCCAACCGTGATAATCGGGGGTGGGGGCGGCAACAAACTAAACACAAAAAGCAGCTCGAAAGAAATTTGCTTTCAATTTAGATTTAAAATTGTATAGCTCCACCGGCTTTCTAACACGTTTCCTAATCCACTGCATTAACCAATTCTAACACTTTTGTTTGACAGCGGTTTGTAATTATTGTGTGTGACAAATACGCGTACGACTTTTAGTTGAAGCTCCTAATAGCTGCTGATAATTATACTTCACGTGTTTGTTTGTTTTTTTTTATATTTGTATTCGGCGAGGGTGATGATCGTAGTTTATCCCAACTAAGCACGTGCCTCGTTCATCAGCCATGTATAAATTATTTGGCTAATTTTAAAAGAGTGTCGCTCTCCTTTGGCATCATTGTCCACTACGTATGTCGCATTGCGGAGCCGCGTGAGATGGCGACAGCTCAGAGAGGCCTTCATCCAGCAGCAGATTGATCGTGGCTGACGATAACTGATTTATTATGCACACGTGAAAATATGCAACTATATCCTTGACACACATATTGAATGGAAATATCGTTTTTAGAAATCAAAACACATCATATTTCAATAAGTAAAGCACATGAATGACAATTTGTATTGTCTAAGCTGATGTATTAATGCTACTGTTGAAAATGCTGGTGTTATGTAACGCTGTATATGTTTTTGAGAAAAATATTAAACGGCTCTCGTTTGATTTTTTAAAAGTATAATGCATCATTCAAAGCGTTAGAGCTTAGGGTCAGGGTGGCTGAATGTAAGAGTAGCTATGGCTGTGACGATGGCTGTGTTAGTGCAGAGCAGTAGTGTCGTGGTTAGCGTACTGCGCCATGAACCTGGTGACCCGAGTTTAATTCCTGCTCACAGCCAACACCAGTGACAATTATCTGAACCAGTTCTGGGCCTCCCCTAGGCCGACTTAGCATCAAGTGAGTACCTGGCGCAAAGTGTAAACCCTCACCACTGGGGAGACAAAGGCGGCCGGGCATGGCGCCGTCCAGCTACGCCCTCGTGTGCCGTGCCGCGCTTCAATACGTGCTCGCAATCAGCACTTGCCCCAACCATCTGTTAAGGCTATACAGGGGATATTTATATTTGTGTTTTTGAATCCGACAATGGCTGTGGTTGTGACAAGAGGCTGTAGTTTAACGGTGAGAGCGACTGCGGTTGAACGTGACACTCAAGAGAGAGTGTGACCCTGGCTGCGAGGGTGGCCTGTGGTGACGGAACACTCACCGCGAGCACCACCGCGCTGCCCACTGCTCCCAGGTATCCCTGCACGAAGCGCGCGGTCGGCGTTGGCTGTGGTGGGCAAAAGGCGCAGAAACGTCGAGGTCACAGGCGAGAAATGGAGAAAACAACGTTTTGACTTGCGATCGAATTCGCACGCGCGAGCGCGCTAAAGTGCTTCAACATCGCAGTAATTACAAGTACAGTATCGAAGCGACAAGATCCGTGCGATTTAACCGAATGTAACTCCGCGACGGAACATTAACCAACGTATTTTCACCAACGCCCAAAAACAATAACGACGTTTGTCGTTGCTGCCGTTGAATTAAACGAGATGTTTGTGAACGGTGCGGTAATATTAGCAGAGGGCACGATGCTTCAGTCCTCCACTATTACGCTCATGTTAGCGAGCAGAGCATTTCCCAGAATGCTCGATACATTTACACAATAACAAATTAAACAGTCACAGCCCTTTGACAAATCCGCTGCTGGATGAGGCCTAAAGATACAAATGAGGCTCATGGGGTGCCGTTGTGGAGAGATGTTAACTCCCTTGGCTGGTATGCAGGAAGTCGTGGGTGGGTTCAATCTCGAACCAGACGCCTGTACATTTGGAGTTTGCATTTTCTCCCCGTGGCCGCGTGGATTTTTCTCCGCGTCCTCAGATTTTCCCCTCTACATTTGTAAACATGCATTTATAGTATTCTTGGTTCTTTCGGTAAAGTCACGTAGAAGGGAAATAATAAAATAATACAAATAAAACATGATAAAATACAAATACTTTATTATTTCCCTTCTACGTGACTTTACCGAAAGAACCAAGAAGATGAATCCCTGCAGTCACGAAAGCTTTAAATCGAAAAATGCATTTATAGTGTTTGACTGCAATCAATTTCCACGTGATAAGCCGCTTAGTTGAAAAACAGCTATATAGCGCAGTGGGCCTTACCTGGTAAATTAAAATTGTTTAGTTGAAAGTTTAGATACGATGATAAAAAAAAAACATTTCTAGATGTACATTCTTATTTTTGTTACAATTAATATAATAACCCTCCACAGCTTAAACAACAACAACAACAATAAAAAGTCAACGCGCTCGTCGATAACAACGCGGCATTAAAAGTGGGCAAGTAAAAATAACGTGGGCGACGTTTTGGGGCTTTGGGCCGTCTTCTTCACAGCGCACGGCGGGGTGCGTGTGGGGGGTGCGGGGGGTGCGGGGGGTGCAGGAGGAGACGGTGATGGCAATGTCCTTACGCTCGTGATGCGTCCGCTAAATTGTGCTCTGCAGGGCTCGAATTACTTGCGATGACTGCAAATTCACCGATATCACCGAGGGGCGGCCGGTGTAAAAAAACAAAGGAATGCGGCAAGCGCGTAATAAAACGCAGAACAAAAAAAACGCCATTCAAAACTTAAAATAAGAAGGGATACTTTAAGTGTAAGCGTATGACATGCTGATGTAACTCTTAGGCCAATGGAGCAGAATAAAAGTATACAATTCAAGGCAAGAATAATACAAAAACACTGTTCAATCGAATAACAGGCCCGAATCGTAACGATTAGTCGAATCGATGTCAGGGGGAGGGTGGTTAATGGCTGGTTAATTCTTAGGTAGCGGCCAGTGACCCTATCGGGTGGACATGTGGGTGCTGTTTGGACGCGGCAGGGGATAGGAGGGCAGTCAGGTGGGCTTGGCACCGCCGACAGCTTTCATGGACCCGACTTTGATGTCTCCCGAGGCCGGCCAAGGGAGGTAATGGATATCCCGGAGGCAGGGGGGGGGCATCGCCATCCCTCGTATCATCTGCCGCGAGGTCCTGACACGGAGAGTTCGTGCGCCGCGGCCGGAAAGAGAAGCAACGATGGCCCTCCGGTAAAGAACACTGGGCGCTGTTGTTGTTTGTTGGCCAGCGAAGCGAGGCTTTAGGGCCGGGATTAGTCACCTGAACCTGGGAGCCCGAGAAGAAAGAGCGAGACAGCGAGCGAGCGAGCGGAGTGAGCAAGGGGACAAAGCGCTACTTCGCCGTTTGCGTGCGAGCGTCGCTCGTTTTTATTATTGTTCTCGCGCGATGCAATGCGCACAAAAACCAATTAGGGCGAAAACAATTTGAGCTCGAGCGTCGGTTTGCCACTTTAATTGGCGGCGCTACTCGGAAACATCGACGTGTTTTGAAGTGCGGCGCACGCGTACCCCCCCCCCCCCCCGCTTTGCAAGAAGCGAGCGGGGGGGGGGACTCGGGCGTGCTGCTCACGGCCGCCGAAATCACGCGACCCGCGATCGAGTGCTCGCCGTCGTAATGAGAGCGTGTGCATCACGCACCACGAAGGGGCACCCCCCTCCCCTCCCTCCCCTACCTCCCCTCCATCCCTCCCCTCTCCTCCCACCATGCCTCTCCATTGACCCACACCCATCCAACCCCTCCCCAACATCTCGCTAGTCCTATTAAAACGTAACGTTGCGACCTTCCACTGCTGCCTGTTGACTAATTGTTAACGGTCGGGTTTGTACGAGGCTGGCGTGTTTTCTCTAAATAGGGATCTTTGTTCCGCGGATTCGCTTCCGGGGGGGGGTTGGCCGGCCTTCTTACTGCGTCTGATCACTCGCAAAGCATTTGGAAAATGTATTTCCAAGCGTTGTAAGTCTACGATGTGCGCTATGAGCAACGGCACTGAAAGGCGAACAACAAGTGAGAAGGGGGAATATTTAACGCGCCGGAGATGCGGTACGGGTAACGTTTGAGTCGGTGCGAAGAATTAACGCGTGAGAATGGCCGACTAGTTGGTCAGGATTAGGGGTTAGAATTCGCCTCTCTTTCCCATTACGATGCACGACCTTTACATTAATTCGCCCATTTGTTTTTAACGTATGTATGCATGCATGTAACATGCATGTATGTATACTAACGTCGCCGCACACAGGATCCTCACCTTGCTGGCGTTGCGGTTGGCGTAGTTCACGCACGCGTTGTGACTTTGGTTCAGCCACTGCAAAGGACGGCAACAGGGGTGGGGGGGGGTGGATCGCGTCGCGATGACACGGGCTCCGTTACACGAGCGGTGGAACGAAACGTCGCGGCGGCCTGCGCGGAGCTGCGGTTACCGCACTCAGCCGCTGACCCTCGACAAGTCAGGAGCCGACAGCAATAGAAGCGGCGTGCGCCTGCCATGAACCGATGTGCTCATATTTGAGCGAGCGCAGCCAAATCCGACGGCCACGGATAATCCAGCGCTAAACGTACATGTAAAGATGAACCCGAACAGGACTGCGTCGCCAGCAAAGACTCCTCTCGCTATTTTTTTGGTGGAACGTTTTAATTATTTCAGTAGGAACGGCCCAATGAGCTGCTGCTAGCGCCTGTTTCATTGGGCGTCCTGCGACGACGGTCGAGATGTCGTACAGAACAGGATCTGAGTTGCAATCATGGCCACAGAGGTGGCGATACACGCAGCCAGTATCGGTAGGCACTTAGCACGTTATAGGAACAGTGGACCGGTCACAAAATGTAACAAAAACAAAACGACTACATTCTTTTCTGAACAAATTTTTTTTTTTTTTTTTCACAAAGGGAATTAGAAATAATGGCGAGTAATGCTGTAAGTGAATTTTCGTGAAAACAATGTTTGGAACTAAATGTTTTGGAGAAAGCAAACATACCTGCCAAAAGACCGTGGTGGCGAGCGTCTGATTGGGGAGTAGGAGGCCAACAACCTGTTGATGAGAGGACACGATTCTCCAGTTGTAAACAACACCCATGGCACACACAACATCACCAGTTGTTACTGCATTGACAATGCACAATGTCTACACACCTCAAATAATAAAACCATCACATGGGACGACGATTTATGAGTTACAGGACCCATTGCCTGCACGTCAGGTTTCGGGAGGCCTTTATCCAGCAGTGGCTTGGTCATGGCTGCTGCTGCTGCTGATGACGATAAGCAATGTGACTGAGAGAGTGAGAGAGAGAAAAGTTTTTGTTGAACCCAAGTACCATCCACCTTGTGGCGAGAGTGAACGTGACTCTTGCCATGCTTTACCGTGGGGCGTGCAACAATGCTCCGATTCACCGATTCATGGAGAAATATTGATCCGTCAATTAATATTGATCCTACATGCTTCAACTCACACGTGTACAAATCTGTTGTTTTTTTTATTCGTATCGTGGTTCACACGTTGCACTGTAAACAATACATTTAGTTCCGGGCCACAGCTAACATCAGTGGCAAAATGATATCCAAACTGGTCTCGAAGCACCTTCTGCTCCCTCCACCAACCCGCATTGACCAGCGTGACGAAGTATGGTCAAACAACTTCCACGGACGACATAGCACGGGGCAGGCCTTCATTCAGTAGTTGATTAAGAGTGGTTTAAGAGTGGTTTAAGAGTGGATTAAGAGTTGTAAACCATTACAGCCAAAAGAGGCTCTGCCATTCACCACATGGTTCACGAAACAACAATGTTCTTGAATTTAATTGTGAGCATGCATTGCGTCATAAGAGTGGGGGGTTTCGGTGGAGGGGGGGTGAATTGGGGGGAGGGGAGGACGGGGAGTGGTGGGTGGGGGGTGTAAATCAGTTCACCCCTCCTTTGGGGGGCGGGGGCAGTGGGGGTCACAGGTCATTATTAAGTGCCATGTGGGAGCACGCAGAGCCCAGCACCTGTGAGTAAACCCAATAGGCCGCACGTGGCGGTGGCCAGACACGTTCTCATCATCGCCATCGTCAGCCAGGAGCGATCCACTGCTGGATCAAGGCCTCTCCAAGGCCTTTGCGATCTCTCGCGGCCCTGCAGTGCAATGATACAATAAAAAAAACTCCTTGCGCCCGCAGACGGGGCCCCATTTCAGTCGCTACCACCTCCTTGGTGGCCATTCTGTCTCTCTCGTGTGTGCTCCTTCCTTTGGCTGACACTCAGTTCCTATTCTTGCCCAGCGACGCGTCCTGCCCAAGGCAACCTACTTTTCATAAATGACGTCTTTAACGGTCGACGTCTCGAATGCATTCCCCATCCTTTGGCCACCACTCCGTTTTTATTTGTCGAGCACTGGGCCACTAATCCCTCCTAGCCCTGACGTGTGCTGTCCCAAGTCCACTTAATATTCTTTAACAAAAGCTATGCCGCCTTTGGCCTGCGTACGTTTTCGACCGCGTGCGTTGAAAGCACCAACTGTGGCACTTTCAAGACGTGACGAGAAACCTTGCGGATGGGAAAATGTGAATGCATTCAAGGAAGGGATGAATCCACCTTAGCAGTCGAACCGACATTTACAAGGTGCGTAGGTGGATGGAGGCCTTGAAAGAAAGGATTGGTGGGGTGTTGGCAAAGTAACTGGGCTATGTGAGACCACGCTTACCCACATGTGTTAAGTTTCCTGGGAAAATACGATCGTGCGGATATCCAATTATTCGGAAATATGCTTCGCCGTATGATTTATCGCCTGTGTTTTAGAGCAATTCTTTTTCTGTCTTCCGAAAATTGTGATTTGCAAACGCGCCGCAATTGACATATGGTATTAGAATGCTTATTGCGCCCCAATTTAGGGTTTAATTTCAGAAAGCTATAATTAAAATAAAACTTTCGAGATAAAGCTCATTAAAACGTTTGTGAACGAATAGCAAATTGGAATTAGATGACAGATGTCAAAAAAACAAAAATGTGGTGCACGGCAAGGTTCAGCGATTTCTTTTTTCGTCACAAAAGGAGAAACATCACTCGCTCGTTCACGTTTCCAATGGTGCCCCACTCCTTTTTACAAACAAGATAAATATTTTCGCGCAAAAAAATAACCTGGGTTTGCGCTGCTAAATCTGTCGGGTTTTAAACGGACCATTGTAAGAAGAAATGTCGGCGAAAACAGCAAAAACGGCGCGTTAAATTATCCGCCCCAAATTAGACGAAGTAAGATTCTGGGTGATCATTAAAAAGACAACAGAAATAAATATATAATATACCCGATGTGTATATTTAAAATTGGATTAGGTGACGTTATTGAAAATGTTAATTGCAGATTTTTACTCAGACTTTACCGCTTCTTTTGAAAGTGTTTTTTTTTCCTCTCGTAATGGGAGAGAAAAAAATATAATTCTGTGCACTTACACCGTACGTACATTTCAACATATATAATTATTACCATTATAATGTACAGCCCCCTGTAAAATCAACTTGCCGGATGAAGGCCTCCCGACGCTGGGCTCATCATCATGGGGGTTGTGTCTGGGCCCTCCGTCGCCAACACCCGGGCAAGCACGGGTTGAAGAATCGCGGCGACGCAAGCAGTTCGGAAATCGCTCGCCACCGACGCCAGCTATGGGCGGCGTTCGATTCAGGTCGCTGGGTTCGTAGCGCAGTTCGCTGGACCACTGTGCCACCCCAAAGACAAAGATCCCCCCCCACCCCCCCCGGCGGCCACATAGCCTTCAACAGAATGTCCGGGGCAAGTGCTGTTAGCGAGCACCTATGAAGGCCGGCACGGCGCACATGGCACGGACTAACAAACACACACCCCCGGTTATCTTTGACTGCCTCAGTGCTGATATTTACACACCGCACCAGGTACTCATTTAAGGCTGAGTCGACCTAGGGGATGCCTAGAACAGAGTTCTGGTAATTGCCATTGAAGTTGGCCATGAATAGGAATTGATCTCGCGTCACCAGGTGCCGTGCGATAACCAGCACACGAGGCGCGAGCACGCTACGCAATCTCACGCACTCCTACACACGTCAGGCAATTCCCACAAGTGTCTCCATTTAAAGGATTATTTGAAGCCCGTGCGGCTAAGAGACTGTATCGTCATCACGCACATTCACAAAGTTAAACGCGGTCCTTCTTACCTACCTGCGAAACAGGGCTCCAATGACACACGTAAATGGGCAATTTGTATCCAATAACCCTACAATGTTATTCCACGGAATTCTCCATAATGGCTGTCATGTGCCACCCGTCAAAGGTTGAGCTCATGTTGATCTTGGGTCATCCACCAAAAATTCAGATCTTAAGATAACACCGGGGGCTGCTAAAAAAAAAAAACACTCTCGGTCGTAGCCCGGCGGCACGGAGTGGGATCTGCTGTGGCACATTTCTGCTGGAGCAGCAAGCCGCCCCCGCGAGGAGCCCCCCCCCCGCGAGGAGCCCCCGTCGGCGACCGGACACGGCGGGGGGCTTACGCTCGCGCCATTCGAAGCCAATAAATAGCGCCGGGCTTGGGTGTAAATTTTTTTTTTTTTACTCTGCCAAAAATTGGCTTAGTGGGGGGGAGGTGCTGGGCGGGCGGGTGAGCGAGCGGTGCTCAGCTGTGTGGGCTAATCAGGAGGCCTGCGGCAGTGGCGGCGCGAGAGCCGAAGAGGGCGTGAGCGGTGTTAACGCCGCACACGTGGGCTGCCCTTCGCCTGCCCCCCGTTTAACCACAAACATGTGGGGTGGGGTGGGGGGGGGGCACTGGGGGGGCACTGCCAACCCACCCAACGCCTCCCCCCCCACCACCACCGTCATCCCCCGCCACCCACCGCCAACACAAATTTGCCACATTCCACCTAACAACCTCCCCTCGACGTCAGTGTCAGATCCACACAGGAGCCAGCGTTCGTTGTTTTTCTGGCAAGATTCAAGGCAGGGACGAGCCTGTGCTTTAGGGTTTTGCTCTTTGTGTCACGGTTAATAAGAATTATACTTTCATTTTATATAGCGTCATTCATGCCAACAGCATCCCACAATGCTGTACATTATTTATGAGGACCAAATCCCATATACGCGGTTGGGGAGGTACGACGCGAAAGAAGCCCAACATACACACACCTATATACCAAGCCAATGGAAACTGTACTACCAATTAAAGTTTAAAAAATTTGATTTTTTTTTTTAGAAATGGCACCAAAACAAAAAAATCACAGGCCCAAAGGCCAAGTGTGCAAGCGGCCAGGGGACTCAGTGTGCCGATGATGTGCAGTGCAGATAAGAACCGACGTCGTTCTTTAACTGTGTGAGGTTAGGGGAACTCGGGTAAAAGAGATGATGGGAGTTCTAAAGGCAGCAAGGGAGAGCAAAAAGGACAGAATAGTCGATGAGTTACGTGACCTTTAGAAGCTTGAGGCCGGGTTGTACCTGGATGGGAGACTGACAGGGAAAACCAGGTGCTGGTAGACTTGGGCTGATGTGAGCAGGAGATGGCAGTGTAAGTGTGGATTCCTGAATCAATCCGTGGAGGAGCATTACGTGCAACCACTCGTTTTGTGTGGCATTTCTCCGGACACGTGCTGAAGGATCGTTCATGGTACTGGTAAAACATTATACTGCAGGGACCTGCAGAAAAATGGTCTTGTGACTCGGCGGTGGGTGTTCTGTGTAAAGGGGCATTGTCCTTATCATGATGAGGAAGAGAATGGAGGGGGGGGGGTAGAGCAGAGACACTTTTCACATATTCGGAAAACGTTACCACTTCAGTGACAGCTCATACAATAGCAGGTTACATTGAAATAACAACACTGCTTTGTTTTGCTCCGAGTAAAATTAAAGAAAGATTTAGACATTCCAGCTGACCGCCCTTCTTCAGTCCACCGGCAATCTTCAGGCCAGACAGCTAAAATGTCAATAACTTCCTCTCCACTCCCGACGAGAGTAAAAGAAAACCCCGTTATTATTTTAAATTATCCGGTTATTCGCCCTTTATTTATTGACGGGTAAGCAGACTTGAAAGCTATTATTACAAAT